AGAAACTTGGTGAGAGTCTGCCGCTGCACATGCTCTTAAAGCCGACGAATAGTAGAGAGAGTTGAGGTTCTTGCTTGGAGGCGAGTGGAAGCGCCTGGAGGGTGAGTCTTTCGAGCGATGGTGCAGGAGTCTCCGGATCTAGAAGCTTGTGTAGTGTACCGGATTCTCCTCCGGTTGCATCAGTGGTGGGTTCATTGTCAATTTCTAGATATGTTTCTCCTCAATCTTGGTCATGTTCAGAATCGTTGGTCTCCTTCGTGTTGCTCTATCGTCAGATATGTCTTCGTCCTTGACTTTTCCATTAGGCCGTTTAGGTCTTCAGTTTAGACCGGTTCGTGGTTCTCAGCCCATCCATTCCTTTTGCTTTTTCCTTCATTGATTGGTTCTTGCGATGAAGGTTCGTGAAATGGTTGTGTTTGGAGAGGTGATTTTGGTGAACCCGAATCTGGTACGTGGCGATAGTGTTTGTGGTGGTCTTCGGGATTGGATCTTTTAGGGTCTCTCTCTGGCAATTGGAATTGATTATGAAGCTTTTATGTCGTGGTTCTTTGTCTTTGTGTCCTTGCTTTGGTTTGGATGTGTAGATGAGTTGCCTCTTGTTTTATTTCGCGTGGTCTTGTTTATCGTGGATCAGTTGGTTCAATCTCGTTCTCTGGTTTTAGTGTGTTTGCCTTCGTGTTCTGGCCTTATAGTAGGAGTTGTCTTGGGGCTGATTTAAAGTGTGACATTTTCCTAGTGAAGATGATGGTTTTGAGACTATCTTACCTCGACTATCAGTTTAGTTTCCTCTCGAACCTTTTTTCCAATTGTTTCTTCTATCGGCGATACGTATCAACACCTGCCTTAGTGCATTGGGTTGTGTATCAATAGAAGTCTCATAGGTGGGATTGGGTTCTACTCTTGATATTGATGATCTCCTCATCATGGTTTGTCTTGGTTTTTGTCACACTTTATTGGCTTTGCTTTGGTATTGGGCTTCGGTGTGTCGCCTCGTGTGCGTATGCAGTTCCCTCGTCTCTTTTATCCTTGTAGTGTTTCATCCTATTGTTGCAAGGGTTTCTTCATTCGGTCATTTTGTGGATGGTTAGCGTTTGGCTCCTTTGAGGCGTGGTTGGATTGGATCTTCTTGGTTCGGTTTTTAGCTTGTGCTCGA